ATCCTTATCACACTCAACATCTCAAAGCTTTCCAGCTAATTATTTTCGAGCATAACGACTATTTTGTAGCCAAACGTGCCAATCAATTGCACCAGCGAGATCCCTCAGGCACTCATGAGTGAGATAAACCACTCATTTCCTTGAAGACTTCTGTCCAGGACACTGGGAGGAACTCCCGTCTGTACTCACATTAATCAGTCATGAAAAATGTAACATTTTTCCTTTTTTTGAACAAAAAAGGAGCTGTTACACCTGTCGGGGTATACTATAGACCACCAAATAGTGGGAAGGAAATAGATGAGCAGATCTGCAAGCAGAACTCAGACAGATGCAAAGCCAATAGAGTCGTGATAATGGGGGACTTTAATTATCCCAACATAGACTGGCAAAACAACAGCGCAAAGGGCAAGGAGGGGGAAATATTCCTAAAATGCAGAGAGGACAACTTTCTTGATCACTACGTTTCCAGCCCAACGAGGAAGGAAGCAGTGCTGGATCGAGTTCCAGGGAATGAAGTAGGGCAAGTGGATCAGGTTTCAGTGTGAGAGCATTTGGGCAATAGTGATCACAACATCATTAGATTCAGAGTGCATATGGAAAGAGACAAGGAACCATCAAAGGTAAAGGTATTCAACTGGAAGAGGCTAATTTCAGTGAGTTAAAAAGGGACCGAGCCAAGGTGGACTGGAAAGAAAGATTGGTAGGAAAAACAACTAAAGAGCAGTGGGAAATCTTCAAGGATGAGATAGCTCGGGGACAGAACAAATACATTCCCACAAAAGGGAAAAGTAGGGCTTCCAAACCTCCCTGGATGACGAAGGTAATTGTGTCTAGAATGAAGCAGAAAAAGGAGGCGTATGACAAATGTCAAACCCAAGATATGGAAGACAACCAAATAGAATATAGGAAGTGCAGAAGAGAACTGAAAAAGGAAGTAAGAGCGGCAAAAAGATTATACGAAAAAAGGTTAGCGAGTAACGTTAAAGGGAATCCTAAAATATTTTACAAACATATCAAGAAAAAAAGGTTAGTCAAAGGTAGGGTGGGGCCAATTAAGGACCAAGGGGAAAATCTTACTGTGGAGGCAGAGGCCATGGTTGATGTAATGAATGAGTACTTTGCATCTGTCTTCACAAAAGAAGTGGATGCACCAAATGCCGCAGTATCGGAGGAGAGGGCAGAGGAAATGGAGAGGATAAGTATAAACAGAGAGGAAGTACAGAAAAGGTTGACTGGGCTGAAGGTTATAAGTCACCCGGTCCGGACGGGATGCAGCCGAGGTTACTATGGGAGACACGGGTACAAATAGCGGAGGCTTTGGCTACAAATGTTCAATTTTCGTTGGACACAGGAGTGGTGCCCGAGGACTGGAGAGTGGCCAATGTGACTCTCTTGTACAAAAAGGGACAGAAGGACAAACCTGGGAACTCCAGGCCAGTCAGCCTAACATCAGCAGTGGGGAAAGTGTACAGTGGTGTCCCCCAGGGATTGGTATTAGGATCACTGCTCTTCTTAATATACATAAATGATCTGCACTTGGGTATAGCAAGTACCATTTCCAAGTTTGCGGACGATACAAAGTTAGGGAGGGGGTAAACAGTGAGAAGGATAGGAGCCGACTGCAGGAAGACATAGACAGGTGGTAAAATGGGCGACACATGGCAGATGAGTTTCAATGTGGAGAAATGCAAAGTAATGCATTTTGGTAGAAAGAATGAGGGGAGCAATATAGGCGGTAATACAATCTTAAGGGGGTAAAAGAACAGAGAGACCTGGGGTGCAGGTAAATGAACCCTTGAAGGTGGCAGGACAGGTAGATACAGCTGTAAAAAGGGCATATGGGATACTGGGCTTTATAAATAGGGGCATAGAGTACAAGAGTCAGGAGGTGATGATTAACCCATATAAACACTGGTTAGGCCTCAGTTAGAATACTGCGCCCAGTTCTGGGCACCGCACTACAGGAAGGATGTTAAGGCATTGGAAAGGGTACAGAGGAGATTTACGAGGATGGGACCAGGAATGGGGGACCGTGATGATGAGGAAAGGCTGGAGAGGCCGGGATTATTCTCATTGGAGCAGAGAAGGTTACGAGGACCTGATAGAGGTCTTCAAAATCATGAAGGGATTTGATAGGTTAGAAAGGGAAAAGCTGTTTCCACTGGTGGGTGTGTCGGTGACTCGAGGTCACAGATTCAAAATAGTCTCTAAAAGAAGCCGAGGGGAGGTGAGAAGACATTTTTTCACAAAACGAGTTGTTCGAATCTGGAACGCATCACCTGAAAGGGCGGTCGAGGCCGATTCGAAAACTAATTCAAAAATTCTACTTTCAAAAACGCGGTGGACGGGTATTTGAGGAGGACGGGTTTGCAGGTTATGGGGAAAGGGCCGAGAGTGGGATTGACATTACATTGCTCTTCTCAAAGTGCCAACACAGACTCGATGGGCCGAATGGCCTCTTTTTGTGCTGTACGATTCTATGATTCTATGATTTCCCTGAACAGGTAGACAGGAACTTGCTTTTCAAAGTCTCATCTGTATGATGGCACCTGGACTAGACCCTCACATGCCAACCTGGAGTTTGACCCCACAATCTTCTGACCCAGAGGAAAGAGTGTGACTGACTGACTCAGCTCACAAACTACTACAACTGGTAACAATAATCTTTGCATTTGATACAGCGCCTTATCATGTCTCCGATACGTCTCAAAATGCTTCACAGAATACACTTCACATCTCTTCTCGCTTATACACTATAATGAATTGGCTGTATATTTTGTGGGCGAAACGTTAAATATGTTAGTTTTAACATATTAAATAATTTTACATAGTTATATAAACTTATATAGCAGAGAAACAGGCCCTTCAGCCCACATAGTCACTGCCAAAGTTTATTGAGCTGCCCTCCTTGTTCCCTCACATATCCCTCTATTCTCTAGTAATAGTTGTGTAAACAGGCCAAAATTAAGACCTGATTTTTTTTAAAAAACCAGGTTATTACTTTAGGATGTATCAAGACAGTAAAACAAGATATAGGTTTAGAGTTGTGAAGGGCAATTTCAGAACAGACACCAGCAAGTATTTCTTTATACAGAGAGTAATCAGCGACTGGAACGGGTTGCCTAGAAGAGTGCAAGAGGCCAGGACACTGGCAGCTCAACACTGTGATAGAGATGATGGAGCTGATGTTCTGGAGGATGAGATCAGATGGGCCGAAGGGTCTTCTTTATCCAGACCGTTCTCATTATGTCCAATCCTCTTAACCCAATAATTGTGTTCATGACCGAAGCTTAGATTTTAGGGGAGGAAAGAAAACCGTGGAAAAAAGCACATCATTGTACCATGGTGAGCCTCCGTAGTTCATATTGTAATAGTCTTTTGTCCTTTTTCCACGGTTCACTGGGGGAATTCTGTGTATAGCCATTTTACGAGAGCAGATATGCTGGTTACAAACAGCTAGGTGAAGGTGTCCAATTTCTAACAGAGGTTTGTTTCACTGACAATACTTGGGGCTGCTTTTGTCTGATTTCTAGTTATTGTTTTTAGCAATTCTCCCGTTCATTGGTGTGAAATGTGCTGATATGGTTGCACCTTTGGTCCTGGAGTTTTCACCCAATCCGAGTCTGGTCAAGGGGCCAACTTATTTCTGACCAAAGGCTTAATGTTTCAATATTTAGTGTGCTTGCATGTATATACTGTATGTCTCAAGTAAGATTATATTGCTTATCCATGGTTTTCATTTCATTGTTCATGTTTCAAATAAAATAATATTAATCCTTGCATTTGATATAGCCCCTTATCATCGCTTTGAGTCTCTCAAAGTGCTTCACAGAATATACTGTATAGTGAATTGACTGTATATTTTTAGGCGAAACACAGCAGCCAATTGTACACAGCAGCGTCCCACAAACAATTTGAGTGACCAAATTATTGTTTTTTTTATGGGATTACTATCCCCCAGTAAAAGCAATCCATCAACAGACTAACAACCGGGTTCCTACAAACTGCTGGTAAACAGAGGCGCGTACAGTAATGAAACTTGCCCAAGGATTTGTCCTCCCGGGAATCAAACCCAGGTCCTCTCACTTGCGAGGCACGTACTCTAACCACTGAGCTACACGACTCCAAAATTGGTCATTTACTTCATCATCAACAACAACTTGCATTGCTCTGGTGCCTTTTGGTGGGATGGTTCTCAGAGCGTGTCAGGGATGTTACCGTGTGCATGTTGGCTGCCGTGTTCACCCATAAATAGGGCTTCTGTTTTTCAGGATTCAAAAATGAAATTTTTCAGTGTTTTTATTTTTTTTTAGCTTTTTTGTAGTTCTAACAAAAATCAGGACTTTCAATTACTTGTAATGAGAAGATTCAGACATGGCTGCCCACAGAGACACAGAAAGAGACACACAGGAGACCTCAGGACGGGTGACTGACCATTTTCAGGTTTTGAGTGATTATTGGATAAACACTGATTTCATTTTGTTTGTATTGGGTTTAAAATCGAAGCTGTGCCCAGTAGACAAGTCACTTCACCTTACAGTAAATCCCCTGAAGTGCTTTGAGATGTCCTCTCAACATGAAAACCACTGTATCAAATGTAATATAATAATCCTTGCATTTGATATCGCACCTTATCATGTCTTCAAGATGTCTCAAAGCACTTCACAGGATATACTGTAAAGTGAATTGATTATTATTATTATGACAGTCCTTGCAGAAAATCTGACTGGCAAGCGTTTACCCTCTGGCAGCTGCCGCACCATTTTATAGACAGAAACATGCCAAATGGGTACGAGTAATTCATCAGTGTTCGAAACAGCCCACTTCTCCATTAATTCGCTCCTGACTGACTGAGCAGCTCACAGGCTCTCACAGTTCTGCTGTAACCGAATTCCTGTGTAACTGCCTAAAAATATCATCTTTATAAACGCTGTGAGCATCGTTTGCAGGGGCTGAATTAGCAATTCATCATTTCACAAAAAGCGGAGGCTGGACAGACAGATGGTGCAAATCAACTCCTTTAATCAACTGAATAGCCATAGATACTTGTTTTGGCAAAACTCACGAGTTTGTAGTTGTGGAAATCACGCCGGCTTCCTTTCTTGCTCTAGGAGAGTAGCTAGTTTATTGGTTAGCAAAGTTATTTTGTTGGGCTCTATATTCATTGTAAAAGAATACTGTATACCAATACAGTTCATGCTTTCTTGAGTCATGAGGGAACTGGATTATTCACGTAAAGTTTTTGGCAACTACAGGTTTGAGAACACTGAGGAATTAATAAATACTCTGCATACTGACTGGATTGTGGTCAATGAATTGCAGTGTCTTTAAGGTTGATTATTCAATTGTTGACGTGAAGGATTTTTCTACACAAAACAGGCAGATGTGGCTCTGGCTCTCACTCTTCTCTAGGTTGAACTCTGTTTTTGTCGCATTAAGCCCTTCTTCATTCCTTGGTGAATCTTGGTGTCCAATTTCCCTGTTGGACACAAAACACATTTATAGCTCATATTAAGAAACACAAATTGCTCAACTTGTACAAAAGGATTTTTAATTAATATCACAAGCAAAAGACTTTCAGAATGACTCACTGGAAGAACTCCAGTTTTCATATTTAAAAATAGTTTTTACAGATGTTATGTTTAAGACTTATTTTAGGCCAATAAAGTTCTAAATTCAGCTAAACTTCAGCAAAACAGAGGCCCTTCTCTTGGCTCCCATCATTGGCTCAAGACCTTCTTCTTCGACCATGCCTTTGGCCATCCTCCTATGCTCTCGGCCCTTGACCCTCCCTGATCCCAATCCACCCCCCCCACGGGTCCGAATGACCCGTGGGGGGGGTGGATTGTTCAGCGCCTCAGAATATCCTCCCGATGTGAAAGGCGCTTTACAAATGTTGTTGTTATCACCTCACGCACTGACCACTCAAATTGCATGACATTTAAGATGGTGATCCATATTTTGGAGCGCACATAAACTAGTTATACTAATGATTAGATAAGCTAATGGCTCCTGGTTTGGAAGTAATTGATTCTCGAGCGCTAAATTCTCCCTATTTATACATTACTGTTAATTGCAATGAACAGAAACGCTGAATATTTTAGCAGAAAAGTGCAGAAAAGCCAAGGAGACTACTCAGTGAGAGGAAAAAGTAGTTCTGATTAATCGCCACATAATACAGTATTTAGGTTACCCAGAGGACAGGAAACAGACTAATCATTATATTAAAGCACAAGACACACAAAAAACAACCAAGATTTTAGTTCTTTTTCATGAATTTGAATCTTTTTATAAAATAAAGTTTTTTTTCCTGCTCCTAAGGTTCTGTTAACCACAGAATTTCACCATATTTCTTTTCAAATAATGAGAAATTCTTTAGCCCCATATACACAGTGACACGTCAATTGTAGTTGGATATTCTCCTGAGCCAGACGGGTCTACAACATCAACAAATTGTATTTGCACAGCGCTTTTAACATTAGGAGGACGTCCCAAGGCACTGGGCAATTGAGGGATTGCACCCGAGCTGGGGGTTGGCTTTAAGAGGAGTGGGGTGAGAAGATGATCAAAGGTGTGGTCAAAGAGTAAGACGCATCCTGAAAGAGGTGAGGGAAGGGGCTACGGAATTCAATTCCAGGCAGAGGGCGAAACCTTGGGCAAGTTTCCTTACTCCACACAGAGCCTAATAATAATCCCTCCAAAACCAAAAACAATAATAAATTGGTCATTTTCAATCCACGACTTTTGTGGGACATTGCTGTGCGCAATTGGCTGCCGCGTTCGTCCACAAATATACAGTCAATTCACTTTACAGTGTGTTCTGTGAAGCGCTTTGGGAGGTCCTCCCGACGTGAAAAGCGCTATATCAAATGCAAGGATTATTATTATTATTATTAATGGAGCTCCGATGTCACCAAGTGGGAGCTTATAGATATTAAAGGGGAGAGGACCAAGGAGAGAGCCTTGAGGAACACCACATATGACTGTGCGGGGACTGGAGGAGAAGCTGGTCATGGATGCGAACTGGCGATGATGGGAAAGGTACAATTTGAACCAGACAAGTGCAACCGTGAAGATTGAGCTGAGAAGAAAGGTGTTGAGAAAGGATAGAATGGTCCACAGTGTCAAAAGCGGCAGAGATATCAAGGAGGACGAGGAGAAGGAGAGAGAACACTTGTCACAGAAGGCCCGATCAAATATTAAATATTAAAGGGCACTCACTGCTGATGACAGCACAGCCCGGCCCGGCTCATCAGCAAGACTTTGAAGGGCCGACCAGTCACTGGGGGCAGGGAATCCTCCCCCTCAGCTCCTGTTAACCCTGCAGCCAAAACCCTAACGGGTAGGGTGGTCCTAGCTGGACAAGCGGGAAAGCTTGGCAGACAGTGATATCAATGGCAAGCTGTATGGGTTTAGCTGGTTAGACTCCAGCACTTACCCCAACACACACTCAGGGCTCCCCACAAGCCTTGGCTCTTGTCAACCTGCACCTAATACTTTCCGGAGTTAGGTAAGCAGGATGCCTCCCTCCAGGGAAAGAGAGAGAAAGAGAGAGAGCGTATTCCATTCCAACAATCTATCTCTGGGATTTCCATGTGTAGGTGGGAAGCCTGGAATTCTCAGTTTAGTTTGGAGGGATGGTGATGGGTTTCCACATGTGTTAGCCACAGAAGCTTTTCACCCTGGGAGCATGAAGCAAACAGGCCACTGGATCAGTTCTGTTCATGGATCCAAATTGAATTGTATTTATTAAAGTAATTAGACTCAGCTTACAGCTAAACCAATCAGCAAATATCACAGCACTAAACCTCCTTTGGTAGGTGTCCTTGTATTTCACAATTCACCCATTACAAGCTATTCTTTATCGCGTCGCAACCTCTCGGAAGCGCTTCACACGGCGGTTACTGTGAAGTGCGGTGACTGTGCTTTTGTAGGTGAATTTCATGCAGCGCAATGTCCCGCAAACAGCCATCCCATGGAGTCCTGTAGCTCAGTGGTTAGAGCACTCGCTTTGCAAGTGAGAGACCTGAGTTCATTTCCAGGCAGAGGGCGAAACCTTGGGCAAGTTTCCTTACTCCACACAGAGCCTAATAATAATCCCTCCAAATCCAAAAACAATAATAAATTGGTCATTTTCAATCTACGACTGTTTGTGGGACATTGCTGTGCGCAATTGGCTGCCGCGTTCGCCCACAAATATACAGTCAATTCACTTTACAGTGTGTTCTGTGAAGCGTTTTGGGACGTCCTCCTGACGTGAAAAGCGCTATATCAAATGCAAGGATTATTATTATTATTATTATTATTATTATTATTCAAGGAATGCTTTACCTGAGATATGAGGAGAGATTATGGCAAAGTTTACATCAGAGGAAAGAATCAGGAGGTGACTTTATTGATCATTTTCAGATCCCAAAACTGTACAGATACAATGAACTCCAATTATATGTTTTATTCAGTACAGAAATCCACAAGAGGTCACAGTCTCAATATGCGGAGCAGTGTGTACAGGGGGAGTGAGTTTGAGGTAGATTTACGATGCTGGTTGTGATTTGAGGGAGTGTAAGAGACCGAGAAAAACAGCTTTCAGATAACAGGGCTTGGCAGACAGAATACAATGGCATTTTGCAATCAAGTAGGAGAAACAATCAAATGTTTACCAATATTATGATCCTATACAGCAGTGCCTATAATACACAGGAGGAATATTATTGTCTGGCATAAACTCTCCCTCACACAACCCACACACAAACTCACACACACACCCTCACACACAAAGTTACAAGTTACAATTGTGCCGTTACTTCTGAGAGGAAGTGCCTAATCCTAACAAAGAATGTTCAACCAGTTTCTTAAAGGCAGAAATAGAGCATTTAAACTGACTGCCATTTTTTCAGAATTTATTTATCCCATTAAAAAAGCTTCCATATCAATTAGCAAGTCATCAAATACAGTCAGCCTTATATACAGTCAGCCTCACATAGAATCACAAAATTATACAGCACAGAAGGAGGCCATTCGGCCCATCGTGTCTGTGCCGCTCTTTGAAAAGAGCTTCCAAATCAACCCCACTCCCCCACTCTCTCCCCATAGCCCTGATCAACCCCACTGCCCCGCTCTCTCCCCATAGCCCTGATCAACCCCACTCCCCCCCGCTCTCTCCCCATAGCTCTGCAAACTTGTCCTCCCCAAATAAATATCTACTTCGCTCTTAAAAGCCGTTACGGAATCGGTTCCCACCGGCCTTTCAGGCAATACATTCCAGATCCCAACAACTCGCTGTGTGAAAACATTTCTCCTCCCCTCCCCTCTGTTTCTTTTAACAACTTTTAACTATTGTAAATGGGTTTCCTCGGGTTACCGACCCACCCGCCAGTGGGAATAGTTTCTCCTTGTTCACCGCATTGAATCCCCTCATAATTTTGAAAACTTCTATTAACCTCTTAACCTTCTCTGCTCCAAGGAGAATAATCCCGGCTTCTCTGCCTCTCCTGATAACTGAAGCCCCTCATTCCTGGTACCATCCTGGTCAATCTCCTCTGCACCCTCTCCAATGCCTTGACATCCTTCCCAAAGTGTGGGGCCCAGAACTGAGCACAGTCTCGAGCTGAGGCCTAACCGGTGTTTATAAAGGTTCATCATAACTTCCTGACTTGTGTATTCTATGCCCCTATTTATAAAGCCCAGTATCCCGGATGCTTTATTAACAGCTTTATTTACCTGACTTTTTTGATGAGGTAACGGAGAGGGTGGATAAAGGCAGTGCAGTTGATGTAGTTTATTTGGAATTTCAAAAGACATTTGACAAAGTGCCACATGAAAGACTTGTAAGAAAGATAGAAGCCCATGGTATAAAAGGGACAGTGGCAGCGGATCCAGAACTCACTGGGAGACAGAAAGCAGAGAGTGGTGGTGAACGGCTGCTTTTCTGACTGGAGGGAAGTGTACAGTGGTGTCCCCCAGGGATCGGCATTAGGACCACTGCTCTTCTTAATATACATAAATGATCTGGACTTGGGTATAGCAAGTACCATTTCCAAGTTTGCGGACGACACAAAGTTAGGGAGGGGGTAAACAGTGAGAAGGATAGGAGCCGACTGCAGGAAGACATAGACAGGTGGTAAAATGGGCGACACATGGCAGATGAGTTTCAATGTGGAGAAATGCAAAGTAATGCATTTTGGTAGAAAGAATGAGGGGAACAATATAGGCGGTAATACAATCTTAAGGGGGTAAAAGAGCAGAGAGACCTGGGGGTGCAGGTAAATGAACCCTTGAAGGTGCCAGGACAGGTAGATACAGCTGTAAAAAGGGCATATGGGATACTGGGCTTTATAAATAGGGGCATAGAGTACAAGAGTCAGGAGGTGATGATTAACCCATATAAACACTGGTTAGGCCTCAGTTAGAATACTGCGCCCAGTTCTGGGCACCGCACTATAGGAAGGATGTTAAGGCATTGGAAAGGGTACAGAGGAG